ATATATATATATATATATATATATATATATATTTTCTGTGTATGATTTTGTAATTGCAATTAATAATGTTTTAAATATTTGTTTATAGAAAGTATTATATACTTCTATGGAATTCATTCACACTAAATTCTTGTACTTTTTGATAATCATTTATTTTATCTCGCAACGATGTAAAAAGCAAGACATTTCTAATTATTTCTTTTATTTTTTGCAATCGTCTTTCATAATATAATTGTTGTGATTTATCAGTAGCGTTAATTATTAAAGTTTCTTAGTGGTCAATTCGTTCCACAAATCAACGTATAGATAACATCAATACACAATAGGATACAATGTGTATTTATAAAGTATTTGAATGATGATCAATCATTGTTTTCACGATTCAACTTATTATGGCTTAGTGTACTGTTTTTTATATATAAATCATAATCGTATGCATTAGTTGGTTGTTTCTTAGTTAAAATGTTACTGAGTTAATATATTTCCTTTTCAAAACAAATGTTTGATTCTTTCTCTACGAATTTCTATTATATACTGTCACATAAAAATATTAAACTTTTGAATACTCTACTACACATATTATTCTTTCAATACTTTTTATGTTTATATTGCTTGTTAAAATAATACGATTACTAAAAGAAAAAAAGTGCATAAATGCGTGAAATTCGAAATTGTACTGCAATAAAATACATGTGTACGTATGTGAGTGTGTGTACATATATATTTGATTCTGTTCATCAATACTGTACGATAGTTATGTGATTAATCCATATGTATTATATAAATATGTATTACATTTCTGAAATTGTTTTGTAATTCATTTATAATTAAATGATTACGTTTGTAAAGATATTCATATGTTCCAATGTTTTAACATTATAATATACATAGATTTTACTTTAATAAGGATATTTCCAATATTCACAATTAATTATTTTTGCATCCATAAAAATAGTTTTTATGTGCTATATTTTCATACAACTGTACTTTTTTTTTTTTTTATTTTAAGTTTAATTGAAAAGATATATCTGTTTTATTTATTGTACATCCAATTGTATATAAATAGTTGTTTGTTATTTATATTTATAGGAGTACTCGCGTTGAGTTAAATCTTACATTTTTGTAGACATTTTAATTAGATAACAACATGAGTATTTGGCACATTGAACATCAATGATATTTTAAACTACTAAAATCTGTCATAAATTCTACATAGACGAATACCGAGACCTTTTATGCTTCTATTAAGTAACTTTTCTCTCATATATATTTATATATATATATATTATATAATAATTGCTCGTAATTAGTTATATTGAGAAAAAAGACCCTTTTTCTTCGTAACACCTTAAAAAATTTACAAATAAATACATGTTAACTATGTCTCCTTTCTTGACAATTTGAATACTCTTAAAAATAATTTCTAAATATTTCATAAAATTACATATAATATAGAGTAAAATATATCAAATAGATAAAAAAATAAAAAAAAATATAAAAACAACATAAAAATTTGTCACATTAACCAGTCTTTCATCTCGCGGAATAAGATATTATGCAAAACTTGCATAAGCATAAAACGGTCTCCTACATACTAAGTACATGAACTTTTATCACATTTAGAATCACAACACTGTTACAATTTTTCATTACCGACAAATTATTTATACTGTAACCGTATATTTTTTTTAGACTTTTTAATCAACGGCACTTGACAAAAAAATTAAATAACATTATGCCAAACATTATATTGAAAGTCTCTAACATTTCATGTTAATCGAGCATTTTAATTATTCTAGAAGTAACCGTTGCATATGAAGCGTAACGCTTATAGAAAAATATACGATTACAAGACAAGTATTATTAATACTAAGTAATTTTCTCAAACATGTAATAATAGGGCACTTCAAATTTGGGAACAAATTGTTTAAATATAATCTTTGTTGCAGTGAATACTTGGTAAAAAGTTATCACTTTGGTTTTTTTTTTTTTTTTTTATCAGTGCCTCATTCGTTATATTAATACTTATTTTTTTCTTTTGCAGAGAGTTCTATTTAAATATTTTCTAATAATTTAAAATAAATTTACGTGCAAAATATATTTGAGTATAAATATCGTAGAACCAATTTATTAAATTGAAATATCTACTGATACCATATTCAATAGAATAATTTACTCAATAAGATAATAATAGTAACATAAAAAGTAGCAGTGTAAAATTGTGTTATATATTTTTTAATTAAAAAAATAGATATATATATACCTCGAATAATATATATATATATATATAACCAAATGAAAAATTTATTTATTAAGTTATATGTGTGTAAACTTGTATTATAAAGTTAAACGTTATTTTATCAGAACACACTTTTTTTAGAATGTTGCACTGATCTATTGCTGCAATTCTACTATAGTATTTGATCAGATTCTGATCTTTCTACCAGTCTATAATATTAATACATTTTTTTATATTTTTTTCTTTTCTTTTCTTTTCTTTTGAGTTTTACACCCAGTTAGCATTAAAAATATAGTCATATCAAAATAAAATATATCTTGAAGATTTTTGTTATTGTTGCTGTAAAATAGAAATAACTTAGATTTATTTAAGTATGAAACAGGGAAACAATTGAATAGAAATATAGGGTTGTTACTTGACTGTTCTGTCTACAGACACACAATTTCTTCTGAATATAATGTTATTTGTAGTAAAGATTATACTTTAGTAGAAGATGGTCATACAAGAATAATCTGTAAATGTTTTAATGACGATAGATAGATGGTATATAAGAAGATTATGGAAATATCCAATTTGGCATCTTGGTTCTTCAGTCTAATATATTACGACTGACATGAGTATTGCTTTATATGTAAAGATTGTTACCCCGTTTCACACGTGTGCTATAATTGGGATAACTATTTAAATATTGATGGCGTGGGCTTACCGATGATTGTTTTGTTATACTTGCCATTGCACAACCCATTATGAGCTCTACAGCTCTACATAATGTTTGATACAATAACCAAGGCCATGGCTTTGGGAACTGAGTAAGCAATGGCTGCGTATCGTATGCTACTGCCTCTGCTAAGAGTCCTATATAAATATATCATTTATTAATATAATAATAATATTAATCTCATTTCTAAATAAATAAATATAATACGTTAATATTACCATAAGGTCCAAAAACACGAGCAAGATCTGTGATACATAATATGATTCCTAAAATTGCAGTAGCATAAGTGACATTTAATACTTTCCGAATTTGAGATCTTCTAATAGCTGCAGTAGTTGCTTCTGGTATATGCAACGGCGTATCTGATTTAGTTCTATTCACGTATGCTATATGATTTAGTATTGAATGCAATGTAAAATCAGTACCCTAACAAAAATAATCAAATTATTATCTTTTTGTATATAGTATGCTGTATTTTATGCATTCATTAAGTATACGTTTAAATGTACCGTAATTTTATTCTCCATTCCAGAATTTTCAGGAAGCAAATTAGTTTCTGCTGTTATTTCTTCCGATTCGTCTTTATTTTTATCGGTTTTCCAAGATAAGCTTTTCTTTCGAATTTTTGCATCTTCTCCTTTATTTTTCATTTTTTCATTCATCAATGCAGCTTTTTCATTACAATCCGGTTGATCTGAATCAGATTCAGATTTCTCCTGTATTTCTATTTTTTGAGGAACTATACATTGATAATGAGTAGGACTTTTATCCAATGTTCTAATACTTATATCGCTTTTACGACGATTTATAACTAACGGTTTGATTTGAGCCAATTCGGAATTCCGTCTGTAGGATATGTCAGAATTTCTTCGTGACTCATGTTTAGGAGATATAAAAGTACCAATGTCGGAATTACGTCGTGAACCTACAAATTATGTTAAATATATCTAAGTAATAATATGATTCGAATATATTTAATCGTTTTATTGCTATTACCTGTAGGACTGAGATCTAAAACTCTTGGCAATCTCTGTTCAACTGGTGGTAACATTCTTCTCGGCGTTCTATTACCAAAATCACTATTTCTTCTCAATTTAGTGGCGAACTGAGAGCTACGATTTTTTTCATGAGAAAAATCAGAGCTCCTTCTTAATTCTTTAGTGCTACCAGTTGGTGTAATATTCTCAGAATGCCGTCGTGTTATTCGTTCCGGTGATTGACATCTATCAATACTAGGAGAATGTTTAGGGCTGAATTCAGCGCTATATTTAAAGTCATTAATTGGTAGATCTTCTTCATTTATAAATTTAACACTACATTCTGAATTTCTACGGGATGAATGATGAGATGCATCACTCCCACGTCTACTCGCTAAAGAGCTTCTTCGACTTGGACTGGAGACTGTTATTATTGGCAAATTTGCAGTTGATGGAGTAGGTGTCGGTGGCCTAACATAAACTTCAGGTACGGTAGATACTGGCTGAACAGGAGTCTCTTCACGCATAACTGATGGAATACTACGAGACACTTCTATTTGATCTGGTTCTTGTTTTTTAGATATTTTAAAAGAACCTAAAAATTAATATTCTTCTAATTATTATTCTATTTAATTTTTCTAATATACTTCATAATATACGATTTACTTTTATTATTATATTCTGAATCTCCTTCAACGTTGGCATTTTCATTCTTTTCTAAATCTTTGATTTTAGGACCAAATAAAGTAGGCACCAATGCAGCAGCTGCTACTGATGTTGCAAGATTGCTATATGGTGCTAGCATAGCAAGTTGCATAATACCTAAGATATTTGAACAATATTATTGTAGAATGATTATATTACAAATAAATTCTAGAAACAAACCTTTGTGATGAGCATTAGAATTGTCTCTTGTTAACATACTACTTGGCATAGTTCTCAGTAAATGCATGACTTTATAGCCTGCATGAAGAAACGTTAAATATAAAAGAATACTCCATATCAGGAATACTGTTTGTACCACATATTTTGCCATATAACAATTATGTGATGTTAAAGCAACGTCGCTTACAATTACAAAAAAAAAATGTCCTGTTATAATAAGGCTAAGACATGATTCCTTTTGTATTTTTTCTGGTCCAAACTTAAGCTGGAAATTATACAACACATCGTTGACACAATAATAATATAACAAATAATTATTAATTAATATACAAAAAAATGAAGAAATAAATAAAATGAGAGAATATTTGTAATCTTTTAAATATACTTGTGTTAATTGCAAGAAGGTCAATTGTATAAGGCAGAACGCAGAAGTAATACAAGGAAATCCAATATCCCACAAAGTAGATCCTATAATCTTTGGCATTATTTCTTTAAGATTGTAAGGATCTATAAATAAACATGCAGCCCTTGATGCACCCAATAAACATAAAAATATATTAATCGTTGACATAAAAGGACGGCTTGATATAAGGGACCTGTAAGATTATTATATTTTTTAAATAAATTTAATAATTTCACATTGAATCTACTATTATATATATTATTAATATCAATACCTTAAATTTAAAATGGAGAAAAAAGTGTAAAATCCAAGTACAAAGAAAAGACATGCAAATCCATAAGTATGCAGAAGAAAAATCCATCTCAAATCTTGATTTACAGAAATCCAGGATGGAGAAGTAATCAACAATCTATCAAGAAATGCTGAACTTGATGAGTTTGAAGCACAATTCTGCGCTGATATCGGAGATGTTGTTGTAGTGTTGATACCTAATTATAGAACAACAATAATTTAAACGCATAAATATAAATACTTAATGTTATTCCATTCACTTCTCACTACCACTCATTAGAAATTTATACTAACATAATCTCCAAATATCTTTAATATTATATAAAAAGATAATATTAATTATATAATATTAATAAATAATATTTAATTAATAAGTAATATATATATATAAATAATGGTATATATATATAGAAAGAAAGAGAGAATACTTGTATTGACGTTATTATCAATAATTTTCAATGGATACATATAATATAAGTAAAAATAGTGTTCACTATAACTATTTTTACATCACAGATATATATACAATAACAAGTAAAAACTGACCACGAGTAAAATTAGTTAGCTTGTCCATCCCTTGACTGCTGACCACAGCACATCACTAAATTTCATCAAATCTTTTAATTAAACATTACAGAAATAATCACTAAATTTGAAAGAAGTACACAGATAAAAGGCAAATGTTTAAATGTGATACTAGCAACAGGCTTTGCTCTATAGAGTGAGTTTATTCACACCCCCTCCCTTAAAACGGTGATGCTCTGTCTCTCTTCAGCTAGAAATATTGATCTTGCTTGAAGAGGGTTGGAAGGGGTATTCAGGACTGTTCACGTTATAGGCCTATCAATTGTTTATACATTAGATAGGACTATTATATTGTAAAATTTATCGATTTTTGCACGCGCACATATACGCATACATCTCCTCAATGCGTTGGTGCAAATGCATATAGATATTGTACGTAATACATATTCATTAATTTAAAAATATAACAATGTTTATATATCAAAAATACTTTCAACCACCAAGTTTTAAACATGTATTGATACAGACCCGTAGTTAAATGATTAGTAAACGCAATTAGTATTTTAATCATATTTACAGTACTTTTAATAAAAATTCTTTAATCATTACTTTCGTAGAATGTAATGATAATAAGATACCATTACTATCTTTATTTTTCCTTCCATCTATATAAAATATTTGTATTATTTCTTGTAAATGTAACTTTAAAGTTGCTAGAAATATCAACAGGTTGTCACGACAAATCTACAAAAGAAATTGTATAGCCGCTGCTGAATAAAACATGATTATAAATAGGAACTACATTATTGAATTCAAAAACATTTTTAAAATTATTACTTTATATATTATACATAAGAAACTTTTTGTTTGTAACTACATAATACAATGGAAAAATTGTAGAGTATTTGTTTAGCAAAAATGTATATGTGAAAGACATAATTAATTATCATGAAAATATATATAAACAATTTTATTAAAGATTATAATAACAAATTAATATTAAAGATTAAATTATTCTATTAATAGCATAAAAATATTTGAAAGCCCAAAAATTATATTTAAAATGTACAACTACAATTATTTTTTAATTCCCTAAAATTAAACATTATAAGAAAATACATTATATGCAATATCGTATATTGTAAATGATTGAGATGGAAACTCTATTGTAAAATCATGAATACTTCTTTCTTTTCTTTAGGTCAGTGAAGTTGACATGCTCTAACAGCGATTAGTTGTAAAAGAATAAAAACAGGACTTAATACTTCGGAGTACTCTAAAGTACTTTGACCAGAAAGCTTTTTACATAAGAGATATTTAAATACAAATATTAGCAATAACGATATTAAACTCCATAATGCTCTTAATATAGCAACCTGAATCATTCCTTCCATATGCATACGTATGAATATAATAGCGCAAAAATATGTATTAAAACCGTCAGCTATAAACAATGGCGAGAAAACAACCCACCATCCTGTATTTTCCAAAAAATAATTATCATCTAATTTTAAAGCTAATAGAATAGTAAATATCGTTAACGATATTAAATTAATCCATATTTCAAAAATAGTTAAACCTAACCAGTGTACTAATTCATGTAAAGAAAAAATCATTGCGCCGTAATAAAAATAAACAAATAATTAACTAACTTGAAAAATACTTCTGCTTAATATATTCAATACAATTATACAAATATTGCTTGCTTTGGTAATTTATAGACCATATTTTGTTTTTTTTGTGGATATTATTCCAACGGGTTCCTTCCTAAATATACGTATATGTATGGCAGAATTACGTCTAAAGTTCATTTCACCATTGTGATCATCATTATGCTGTTTAATGTCATCTGTAAAGAAAAGGAATTAGTTTTCATTATATATGTATAATATATATATAAGCTGAAACTTTAGAAAATATATACCCATAAGTTTAACAGTAGCAGTTTTAACATCCAGTTCTAAGATATTATGATAAATTTCTTTTAATTGAAGTGCCAAATTACATGTTCTTTCTACAGCAGCACCAAGACCATGTATTACGATTTCAGATGAACCAGTATTAAACAATTTTTTACACTTTTCTAATTGAGTCTTTAATAACAACAATTTTTTATAATAAATATAATTATAATTAAATCATGTAGTTATTTTTTACACAAACCATACACATACACACACCCACATAACTTTATGATATAATATGTTTCTTAATCAAATAACATTACTTTCACAAAAATAAAATTAATATTAAGTTTTAAGAGAAATTACCTTAAAAGATGTTCTTTTTGTCACACATACGTGTAGCTTTGTTTGATAATTTAATCTAGTAGGTTGGCGTTTTCTACCAACGAAATTATTATTCGGAAATACTGTTTTCATAGCATTAATATTTTTCGATTTATTTTTATTTATGGATTGTTGTCCATGTTTCTCGGCCATTTTGTATTAAATGTAGACATACAAGTATTATTGTTTCCAATTATTTCTACTAGATATAAATCAATTTGATTGGTAGAAGTTGGGAAGAAGAATAAATCGTCCAATTAAATTACCGCGCAGAAAATAGTTGGAAAACGTGACCGTAAGAAGAATCATAACAAGCGGACATAACCTCAGGGTACAAAGTTCCATTGCTGGGCGTTTTTTTCGAAGAATTTTAAAAAAGTTATCAACATTGAGTCGCCAACGGGAAATAAAGTTACCCAAAACAATATGAAGGAACCGGAGATGGATCAAAAAACTATAATAAAAAGTAGAGAATTATTGTACAGACTTATGATCAGGTTAATACATTTTTTAATCTTTCACTTTTCATTAAAAACAATTTTCACGATGTATTTTTCACTAATTTTCACAATTATTTAATTTTATGATCGAAATGTTTTTGAATAAGTAATTTAGTTGTTTATAATATCATTAATGTGTCTAAGTATTTATATATAAATATTAACAACTCACATTTCATACAAACAAAATGTGTAATGTTAATTACAGTCAATTATTCTACGATGGTCATCAGACAGTCGCTGTACAATTGTCCAGTATGCTTCAAACAGAAGCCCCATGTCCACCATCGGATCGTTTATTTCATCTTATGTTACTTGGTATCGCTAATGAACCAGATCGTACTAAAAAGGAAACTAATAATACATCATCTACATTTGCTTCAAGTTTTGACAATACATTGGGTCCTGGTTTGGATTTAGAATTTGAAACAGAAGCTTTAACGCAAGCACCTGAACCAGCGCAATATGAAACAGCTTATGTTACTTCTCATAAAGGAAATTGTAGAGCAGGAGCTTTTTCTAATGATGGACAATTAATAGCAACTGGATCGGTGGATGCATCTATTAAAGTTTTAGATGTTGATAGAATGTTGGCAAAATCTGCGCCGGATGAAATGGCACCTGGTGATCAAACTGGAGGTCATCCAGTAATAAGAACATTATACGATCACTTGGAAGAAGTAACATGTTTAGAATTCCATCCGCGTGAACCTATACTTGTTTCTGGCAGTCGTGATTTTTCTGTGAAACTATTTGACTTTAGTAAGGCAAGTGTCAAGAAAGCATTTCGAACAATTACAGATGCTGATCAAATACGATGCTTATCATTTCATCCGACTGGTGATTTTTTGGTAGTAGGAACTAATCATCCAGTTGTAAGGTTATACGATGTTAACACGGCTCAGTGTTTTGTGTGCAGTATACCTAGTCATCAACATACAGCTGGAATAACGAGTATAAAGTATTCCCCTGATGCGAAAACATATGCATCGGCTGGTAAAGATGGAAGTATTAAATTATGGGATGGTGTTTCAAATCGTTGTATAAATACTTTTGTTAAAGCACACGATGGTTATGAAGTATGTTCTGTGACATTTACAAGAAATGGAAAGGTAATTTTTTTCAATTATTATTTGTGTCCTACTAAATTAATCCACAATGTTTCAATAATATCCAACTACAATATAATATTGCAACTATAATTTTCAGTATTTATTATCATCTGGAAAAGATTCCTTGATAAAGTTATGGGAATTATCAACAAGTCGATGCTTAATAGCATATACTGGAGCTGGTACAACAGGTAAAAATATGAAAAAATAATTCTTTTTATTTTTTAATATTTATAAATATAGAAGCAGATATAAAAATGTTAAATAAACAAACATCATCATCATCACACATCATCATCATCATCATGAGAAATTATATTCTGCAGGTAAACAAGAACATAAAGCGCAGGCCATTTTTAATCACACAGAAGATTATGTAATGTTTCCTGACGAAGCTACTACATCGTTATGTGCCTGGAATTCTCGAAATGCATCAAGAAAACAATTATTATCGTTAGGTCATAATGGACCTGTAAGATTAATCGTTCATTCGCCAAATGCACCCGCGTTTTTGACGTGTAGTGATGATTTTAGAGCAAGATTCTGGTTCAGAAGAATACCCACCCATTAAATGCCTTTAAAGTATTTATAGTAAACCTCGTATAATATGACAGATACATTCCGTATTTTTTATGTAAGATTATTATTCAAAGAAGATGTGGAAATACGTTGTTAATTATAAAACATGATTATATGGAATTTATTGTAATGCATTTATTGTATCTGACCAGTGCTACGTTATACGAGGCTCTACTATATATTAGCAAATTTTTATATACGCGTGTAAGTCGTTTATAATTTGCTAGTTTTTCTAAGAAGAGTTAAAGTGAAACAATCGAATTTCAAATCATTGTAAATTGTGCATTTGGTATTTTAACGTTCTTACATGTTTATTTAATACCATATCGAAATGAAACGATCGTATTCCATTAATTTATCAATTTAACGTGTATACTTAAAACGTATGGTGAAAGAAATTGAAAATATTCATTTAAGTAAATAATGTGAACATAAAAAATTTATAATTCGAGCATATGTTTAAAAGAAAAAGAAAAAGAATACAAATAGCATAAAGTATTTGCAACGAGAGGTAAGTGGTAAATAAGTAAGCGTATATATTTTGTCCTTTTGTAAATTAAATTAGATACGACGTCACTTAAAAGAATGTTATATTTAAACCTTCCGGGCCTATATTACGTCGCCACGCATAAGATTAAATATTTGATCACAAGGAGGCGCTATTAACTCCCGCTCTGAGTTTAATGATATCACGTGACCCACGCTAACCGCCATCTTTGCTTATCGTATAAACAGTGCGACCGGGCTCAGCGCGAATTCTTGTTAAGAAATCATAGTTTTCTAGTGTTCTTAAGTGATCCTAATACGAAGAAATGTCTGATATCAAGGCAGAGAGCAAGAATGATAATAGCATCGAAGATGTACCAAAGGTAAGAGATCGAAAATATATGAAAGACCTTCGTCAAGTCGAGTTTTCATGCCAAGGCGGCGTGCGGTCCCTCTGAAATACGGTATGACGCTGTATCTCTCGAAAATTCTAAGCGTGCCGTGTGTTGCGCGTTATCAACTCTACTTTCAACGCGATTAAACGATATACGATAACGTATAGATGGCTCGAAACACGATCTTTCTTGCGTATGGGAAAAGATTCAGTGATTTTTCAAAGCTGCGCCGTTTGTCCTTCATTGGTAAAGATGGTGGATGTTTTTTATTTGTGATTCTCGTGACGAAGAGAGTCGCGCTGCTTGCATGCCGGCGAGTAAGTGTGAAAAAGGCGGGAAATGGTCGGACCGACAGATGATTACACTTGCCACGCGCTCTTTAACGTTATGGAATTCCATCCTTTTCGACACGACATAAACGAGATCCTGATGCCGAAGAATTCTGAATGTGCTGATGTACGCCAAAATGGCGGGAAACTCAAACAAAATTCTGCAAATCCCGATCGGTTCAACGGTCCTTGATAATCTTATCGCTCGCGTAATTATCGTAGACATTTTTTATTTCGTCAATTAATGTTATTACCCTTTGAAATATCGTACTTTTACTTTGTACATTATTCATTTTTCATCATTTTATATTGCGAAATATGTAGCGGGCAAGTGTGTGTGCTTATTTTTTTATTCTTTTTATCCTTTTTATATTTTTTTTAAATGAATCATGCAATATATGGCGGATTTATGATACGAATGTCCTGTCTTTTTTTTCTTTCTTCTTTTTTTTTTTAGGATCAGTCGACAGAGGAGAAATCAACACCAACTAAAAACAGACGTGGTGGTACGAAAAGACTATCAACATTTGAGAGAGCAGCACAAGAAAGTAAAGAAATTACAAAGGTACATAATTTATTTTTTATTTAAAGAGAAGAAATATATATATCTTTACTATTTCTTTTTCTTTCTCTATTAAAATCAGTAAGCATTCAATCCTATTTGTTCTTTGCTTGTTTCCCTCCATTTAGTTTTCCTTTTAGCTGTGTGTGCTTACGTGAGCAAAGAAAAGCGAAGGAGTGGGGGTAATATGCGCTGATAAAGATTAGGAAGGGGAGGGGAGTGCGAATAGTGGGGATAATTCTACCAATTAGAATACAGGCGCCAAATTTAAATAAGTTGTCTACTTTTTATTATTTTTACTTTTTTAAATTTGTGTTTTGTTTTTTTATTATTATATTATTAATAAATTATGTATAAGGTGTTTGTTAAATCACCTATATTCTATATTAGTTCTTATATTTCAATATTATTAATAACACTTGTATGAAATGATATTTTTTAATGATAAAAGAAAATTAATGCATTTTCTTTCATTTAATAGAATTTAAGTCCAAGTGGGGAAATGGAAGGAAGGAGACGTACTCGTAGTTCAGCTCGTGGCTTGACAGCGTCATTGCCAATACCTTCACCACCAAAGAAAGAAAAAAGAGAGCCAGCAACTCCAAGAGGTACAGGACGTGGTCGTCGTGGACGCCCCAAAAGACAAGAGAAAAATAACGAAAACAATACGGATGAGGAAGCTCCAAATAATAAAAATGAAAAGCATTCTGAGGAAGAATCTTCGAAAATGGAAGTTGAAGAAAGTAAAGAAAGTAAAGACAGTAAAGACAGTAAAGACACAGAAGTATTGGAGAGCGAAGATAAAGCTGTAGAAGAAGTTGAAAGTAAAGATGCGACTGATAAATTGCCTGAAACAAATTCCAAGGAAAATAAAGGAACGGAAGAATCCGAAAATTCTGCAGAAGAATCTAAAAGCACTGGTGTCAGTGAAGAAAAGAAAGACGAAGATATTAAGGATAGTTCAGACTCCAGTCAAGATGCGACAGATTCAACGGCAGAAGTACCACCGTCTTCATCGGAATCCCAAAATCCTTCTAATGTTACTCCTTCTGATGAAAATAAGGAATAACCTTCTTCCGCCTATTTTATTACATTCTCATGTAAGTTTTGTTTTTTAATATATTGTACTTTTAATTGTTCCGTAAATTTCAATTTATGCATAGTATATATGCATAATTTATCAAAAAGAGAAAACAGAATTATATTTGGTAAATTTAATATCTTCGATTCATGATCAAATAGTAACAATATCTAAAGTTTAATGATTTATTTAAAACTTCTTCATTATTATTCGATTTGTAATGATTCAGTAGCGATTATATTAAATACTGTTTGTTAAATAAACTTGTAAAAAAAACGATATTTATAAGTTACAACAAAATTGTAAAACTTGTTCTTTTACTCTAGCAGGTACGAAGGCGGCGCACACATTGGGGTATACAAATCCACGCCCCAGGTCTATTCTAATTGACACCTGTTGCCAATCGTTATTCTAATCAGCGCATTTTGTTATTAGTTAACATGATAATTTTTGACATTCAAACATTTTTGTTTGAATTATTCATAACAACAATAAAAAAGAAAACAATAATAATAATATGACAATGAAAAAAAAATTCTTTATTTACATGCATTTTTCGTTGCATGTATTTTTTTTTAAATTAGATTTTATTTGTTATATAGGTAAAAAATACCTAAGCGTTGATTGGAAATGGTGATTGTGAGTGAAGGTGGGAGCATATGTTCATGTACAATGATAATATTATTGTAAAATATATTTAATATGGACTTATATAGAGAGAAGTTGATTTCAAATCAGAACTGAAGCGGAAGTTTTTGAAAAGCAGTCTTCCATATTCGGATCTGATATGGAAATAACTGAAATTAATTCGTACATAGCAAATTACTGTAATATCTTACTTATATAAATGATGACTGAATGATAAGGAATATATGAGAAATATGGTGAACTGATTTCTTTTTTGCATGAAATGCAAAAATAAACCTTATGAGAAATGTGTGGGAACGTAAATCCATTATGTGTCCTTTCTTTTGTAATGTTACTAATGTTAATCATTCTTTTACTTTTTCTTCTGTTTTTTCTTTTTTAATGTAACTAATGCTTCTTTTATGAAACATTGTATTTTACCATAATATATTGTAATATTTGTTTTCGAAGAAAGTGTAAATTTATATAACTTCAAATTTCTCTTTATCTGAAAAATGTAATTTTTGCTAAAATTGTACAATAAGTGTCATGTTTATAAAAAGATCTAACACAAGTATATATAATTTTTACTTCTACTGGTCCATTATTAAATATGTTAATATTATTGTGTGTGTATTTGAACGGTTGTGAATGTACAGATATGATTAATACACTATATTTAGAAAATCCACACTTGATGAGACACCAATAATATATAAATTTAAACGAACGAAAAAAAAGATATAAAGTAAAACAAGAAACATTGTAAAGTATATAATCATGTGCAATGGGAAGAATATTTAAGTTTAAAAGCATCTCTAGATCGTACAGTGGTGGAGTCTTACAATTAGAATCAAATACTGTTATTTTATATTGCAAGACTCGCAAATCTCTGTAAGTTTGTCTACTACTTTTGCAAAAATATTGTAGTGGTGTAAAAAGAATTTATTTAAATTGTGTACCTTTAAGTACTGTGGATAAACTTTGTCATTCCATGTTTCCTTATCTCTCTTTCTTTTTTTTCTTTTGTTTTTCTTTCATTTGCTTTTTTCCATTATAAAAAATATTACATGCGTTAGAAGAGAAAATTTCTTGAGTTGGAACAAAATACTTTTAAAAGAGTTAAATGTCACGCATGTGTAAATAATTGATATAGCTCTGCGAGACAATTGACTTTTATATTTACTGTCTTATGAAGCCACAGTTGCATAAGTACTCCATTGTATAGTATGAGAGCGTAGATTAATGTTTTATTGAACTAAATCAAAACGGATTATATAGTAGCGAGACACGTAAATATGTTTTTTAAACATAGTATAGAATAATAAATAATTTAAAAAGTAGAATGACGTGCACAGTGGTTTGATATTAAGATTTTTTTAAAATACGATAAAACAAAAGATTAATAATATAAGTAACATTTTGAAAAGGAAAATTAACATTTGAGTATATAAATGCTTTTTTTGAAATTAACATAATTACATATTAATATTCTTTTATTTTCTTTTTTAATTTTCATAAATTTAATTACTTTACACTCACAGATTCTGACAAATAATATTTTGTGTTTATAAAATTACTCAGCATAGAAAACATATGTTCTTTTTTTATTTTTAATAGCTACACTCAGTGGATATGTCGTATCTTTTCTAAATTTATTATTGTATTGTTAGACGTATAATTTATTTTAAAATTATAAAATAATTTATATTATTCAGATGCTCTTAATATCTCTTAGATGTTGCATAAAATATGAACATCCAACGAATTCGTATAGAAAATATGGAAACGAGTTCAAAACTTTATATAAGGACTTAAAAATATTGTTGTGTAAGATTTAAAAACATGTCACAAATATAATATCAAAGGGTAAGTTTTTAGTGTCTCGTTGAGTGCGGCTTAGAGTTATTATATAGAATATATAAATACATTAGATAAATAATTGATCACTAAAAGCAGTGGATTTACGAGCTTGTCGTCTGGTAGATATATATCTTTTCTAAGGCAAGCAATACAAGATGTATGAAGAAAACAAAATAAGCATTTTATCATATTAAAATGATAGCGAAGGTAATATAAATTATTAATAATTAAATTGTGAATGTAAGACAGGCAATAGTTTTTATACTGTGTGTATTCATCTTGGTTCGGGTCAAATTTTATAGCGAATTTAAATTTATTATTACATAGCTTATGCAGTCACATGCAATTGTTCATATAATTCTTCATAGGTATATATAAAATATTAAAGAGAGTGTGTTGTCTACCTAACGTGCTCATATACTCTATTATTCTATTGCTACTTCTATTGTAATAAGACCTCAAAATACAAATGATTATGGTTATCATATGGGGAGATTTGATCGACTTTTGTAACAAAACTGCTTCTATCAATAAAATCAATAAAAATCTGTATGATAAATACATTTGATAATACTATTTTTGCTTTTGAAAATGTATTTGAATTAAAAAAAAAGAACATTAATATACCACACTAATGATTATTTCTGATACTGTAGTTAAGAAATTTATTATCAGTGATAAAAATAATTAATAAATTATTAAATTATTTATTTAGATTGAAGCATTACGAAATAAAGAAAATAATTGCATAAATTTGTAAAACAGCTGTATGAGATAATGATGAATATAGAGATGTTATGTGAGAGGCATTCAATTATGTTTACAAAGCTTCTTCATTATTACTTCTCTCTGATCAGAGTACATGAGACATTGCCATAGAATATGATGTAGATACTCAGCTACAGAGGTTGTAAGATTGTAGTGCTACTTATACAAACAAGAACGAAGGAAAGTGTGTCAACTTCCCTTATTTTTTTCTCATGTCTTTGAAACAACAAAATATGTTTTGTAATAATCAAATAATCAAAGCACTTATTTCCTCAAAAAGCCTTAGATCCATAATAGTATATACCTTTACTAAATTTTTCAACTAACAATAAGTCAAAACTAACACCCTACTTACATATCAATCCTTATATTCATGTATTAATAATTTTTCAACTAAATAAAAAGTAAAGTTCAACTAAATAAAAGTTCTTTGTATGTTTTATATGAAGCCTAACACAAATCCCGCCGTCTTATTATTATTAGGTTTATTTTTTAGAAGAAATAGCAGATTTCTATCTTTTATCAACTCTCGATAATAGTAAATTGCTATACCCTTATCGGTAATAATAGCAAAGAGTATAATAGAAGTAAATAGAACTGAAGAAACACTGGCCCGAAACCTTAACAGATGAAAAAAATGAATAAGTGCTTTTAATTGCACACTATTTGCTCAATTTTAATATATTAAATATTTTTTATTTATCGTTAATTAGTTGAAAATAATTATTACACTTTGAATAATTACGAAATGACGACATAACAACTTATAAGGTAGTGAAAAAAAAGAAGTTAATCGTTCATAATGTATAAAAAATAGGTAAATATTTTTATTTTTTCATTTTTTTCTGCTGTTGCGGTTCTATGCCAACTTTTTTGTGGTGAAGTATATGAAAACTTACAAGTCCCCTTTTTTTATCTACCCAGCATCATTTTTGTTACCACTGGGACCACCATTGGACGATAGTATGTACTTAACGCGAATACAATATTCTTTGATAGTATATATAGTATAGTTATATTGTAAGAAAATTTAAAATAATTATATTTAATTTTTAGTGTCTAAATACGTGTGTGCCTTCAGAAATGCGTTTTTTACACATAAATATTTAAAAAAATAGAAGAAAATCATAACGTGTAGATGATAAATCCAACGATGATCACCTGTAACAAAAAGAAAATTATATTAATCATACAATCAAAAGTGATACAATAGCCTAACATATGAATCGTCCAATTCGCAGATGCACTTTTTAACTGAATTCTCTATTTACTTTAATCAAATCTCTATATTTAAATGAAATTTAAACGAGTGATTTTACATTTATAAAAAATAAATAAAAATAAAGAAATAGGAAAAATAAAAGCACTAAATTACTAAAAAATGAAATATCTATTGATTACTGTGAAATACTGTTAAACTGCATTATATAAAAAAGAAAAATTGCAAATTTGATAAAATACGAACACAGTGAAAAATTTAAAAGACAAAATAAAAAAAGAGAAATTATTGTAATATATACCGACTGTTATCTATGCTTCAAAATTTAATAATACAAAAATTGTAATATTTCTGACTCTAACTAAACACATATGCATCTCTTTGACGATTTTGATGGACACAAATTTGGTGTCC